GAGCACTGGGTGTTATACACAAACAATGAATCATGGAACACTACATCAAAAACTAATGATGTAATGTATGGTGATTAACATAACATTAAAAAAAATGGGGGAAAAAAATAAATAAAAATAAATACTTAAGAGCCAGTAAAGGAATAGCTAAATTGTAGTCACTCCAAATACAAAATGTGTTTTCTCTCTATATGTAATCTACAAAGCAAATATAATAGGTTGGAGCATTTGCAGCCATATGAATTAATGTTCTGATTATCGTTTAAGAATAATCATATCTTAGCTAAAGTGATCCTGTGCTTTAATTATGAGTATTAACATAGGGACACCTGGCTGGCTCAGTTGGTAGAGCATGCGACTCATGATGTCAGGGTGGTGAGTTCAAGTCCCATATTGGGCATAGAGCTTACTTTAAAAATAAATAAATAAATACAACATAGACATTTTTGAAATGTTACCATTACATTCTTTTTTCTCCTTTTATGTTGGAGAGATAACAAAATAGCATTCTGAAAGTTTCCGTCTATGAACTGAATCAACTCAGTATTTTAGAAGGAGGTAGGATACAAACCATAAAAATAAAGCATTGTGCTTAGAGCTGATACCGAGCCATCCCTGAGACCCAGTTATGAAGTAACAAAATCAATGAAAATACTAGTATAATGACAGGACAGAGAGTTCCTCCTTTGTTGAGTGAACTCACAGTTTCCTAGGTAGTGGCCTGGAGGATTAGAATAAGGTGAATGGTAATTGTGTTTTCTTGAAGCTAAGCAGGGAGGTCAAAGTCTAGTGGTTTCCATTTAAATTAATGAAGTTCATTTATACCAGGAATTGGAAAAGAGAGGTGATGGTGAAAAATCAGATGAGGAAAATGAAGAGAAAGAAGGAAGCAAAGAGAAAAGTAAAGAAGGCGATGAGGAGGAGGACGATGATGCTGCAGAACAAGAGGAATATGATGAAGAAGAGCAAGAAGAGGTAATAAAGTTACTAAGTTTAAGGATTATCTAATAAGTAATCAGATATATGCTATATAATTAAAATAACAAACCAAAACCAAGTTGGGATATATCATTATCACTGGTATCAGTTCCTTAGTGTCAGGAGAATTATTATAGCATTGAGATGATACCAAACTGAATCTAGGAGGTAAGAGTAACTTGATAGACAACTTTGTAAGTGGAAGTCCACAAGTGAAGCAAATTGATCAGATTAGTTTAAGATTTATCTACATAAAATTTTAAATCTGCCATTACTGTAATTAAGGACTTAGTCATTTAGGGTCTGAAGAGGAAATCCCTGCCATACCATCATATTTCAAATCCCAAAGTGCATGTGGACACTGCCAGAGAACAGTTAGGATCTAACCTCCAGTATCTGACTGAGTTAGGACTTAGTGGTTTGAATTTGGGATTTCTAACTTCTAGAAACATGGTGCCTTTCAAAATAAGCTAGAGCCAATCAGGGTGTTTTTGAGCAGGGTAACTTTGTTGGTCACAGCATCTTTGGGACTTAGTAGACACCTCATGCAGTAACCCTATGCTGGGAGTTTCTTCTCCATGGAAGTAAACTTTGTCTTCACTCCAGTTCAGCTTCCCACAGGATGCTGAATATTTTCTTTACCTGAAACTGGTATAACTATGAAGTCTTTATTATATGCTTTAACTCGTTTACATTAAATTTTGGATTGCTTTGGAATTTATATTGGTGTAAAGAGAGAGGTATGGATCCGTTTTTATCTATTTCCAAATGGTTAGCCAGCTGCTAACCTCGTTTATTAAATAATTTGCTTTCTTCATTGATCTGCAATTCCCCTGTATCAGCTATTAGATTTCCACTTCTACTTAGATGTATTTCTGGGACCTGGTTTTGAACCATCACTCTGCTGTTCCCTTTAATAGAAGCTTCTGATTATTTGTTATTTCTAGGGAAGGATTTTCCTGAGTATTCTTTATTCTTCCAGATAACTTTTAAACATTTTAAAATTAAAAATACCACGTTGTGTCCAACTTTCTTTCCAGATCATTCACTTTTTTTATCCCTGCACTCTGACGTGATTGAGACTGCCAAACCCCTGATTCTCTATTTCTCCTTTACTGGTTCCCTGTCTTAATCTCCTTCCCTAAGGGGCCTAGACCCTTGCTCACCCTTTGACTGCTTTCTTGCCATTGCCCTTGTCCCTTGTCCTCCCCGCACACATTTAAGATCAAGGTAACCTTCGATCAGTTCCACTCTCTCCCCTTTTCCCTCCAAGCCACCTGTTGAGCTTTTCAGAAACTGATGCCACTGAAGCAACAGTCACCAGCCCCTTTTTGCTGGCAACGTGGTCTCTGTGTTCCTCCTTACCATGTCCTCTGTCCACAGCAATTATTTTAGGTCATCTCTTTTCTTCTTAGTCCCTCTCCTTGACTCCCTTTCCTTTTACTCTTAGCAGATGATAACCCCTTCATACAGAAAATGAAGCCATCAAGAAGAAACTCCCTTAATTTCATGTCCTCTGCCTTCAAACGAAATGTCTTTCCTCCTCCTCCTTTTTTTTTTTTTTTCCAGTGGAAGAAATAGGCTTCACTGTATTTGGGGCTAATTGTCCTGCCTTTGGGGGGTCTGTAATCCTTATGTCCTTTCCCTTTTCATATTTTCAATCTCTTTTCCTACTCTTCTGTTCCACTCATGCATTAAAACATGTTCATCTCTCATTGTAAAGTATGCTCCCCACATCCCTTCGAAGTGTCCAGCTGTCTCCTGGAAAGCTGTTTAGCCGGCTTTGCTTCACACGCCCCCCCCCCC